CTTATTTCCAGCTATTGAATCACATTAAAGATAACTGAACATACATTAAATACTTTCTAATATTACCTTTCCATGTAAGTAATTGCTGTAAGGATACTATAAGGATGTCATGTCACCATCAGTAAGCAGGGAGATATTCACATGTATCTCTTAAAACATAGCTCACCTTGTTAAGTTTGAGTGTTAGAGTGCTTTAGGAATGCTCTCTATAGACTGGGTATACTTTCATAGTTTTCCTCATCCAGTTTTATTCCTCATTCAATAGAAAACTGGAGAGCAGTAATGCCCTGCTCTTTGCAAAACAAGTATTTCCCCCAAAATTCCCTCAAACCGTTAAGTTGTTAATGAGCAACCTGTCAGCTGTTAGATATGTCAAGCTATAGCCACTCTAAGCCAAGGCTTTAAAAACCCCACTAGAACTGAACATTTATAATTGGCATTTTTATTACAATATAGCACATAAAGTTCCAGTAAGTGGTTTTCCATTCTACCTAAGTGAATTTGTGAAATTTTCTGGACCTCTGCCTCAAATCCTGATTGAAAAAACAGTCTATAAAAAATGTTTCTTTTTTTTTTTAAATACAACCAGCAGCAAAATTTTAAAAACCCTTAAGAGATCACAGGTGCTAAAATGCAGTACTTCAAAGTTCTAAGAGTGTGTTATAAACTAAATTCAGGATTATATTGTTTCCTTTAAACAGTTACTTAAATTTCTAAACTAGTCTCTTCTTCTCTCACACACAGGCAGCAATTATCACACGAATTTACTCGCCCTAGTTTTTTCATCCTTCTCAGAGTACTTTTATGCTAACTATTGCTAGAAGGCTCTCTGAAAGCTGTTCAAAATCTCTTTGAAATAGCCATGTTGCCTTTTTTTTTTTTTTGGCATGCCAGACTTTCCTTTAAGGGGGAATCTATTGTTTCACAAAGAAGAGGAATACAATAAAAGGATTTCTGTGCACTGAGCCAATTTAGAAGTTTATTCTTTTGTGTGTGTTCTTCAGGTTTTCTTTTTAAATTAATTATTCCTTTACTAATTCTAGAGTAATTTTTGAAGCAGAAATGTGTTTTTATCTAAAATTTAGGTATGGAAAACATAACACACGGAGAAAGAATGTATTCAATTCCTAGCACAACCTCATTTAAGTATTCTGTCCTAACACTGATTTTTCAATAATAGACCCTTTAAAAAAAACAAGATACCCAGTCTGTAGACAATTTATTGAAAAATGGTTTGTTTCAAGATAGGCCACTTAAAGTAATATACTAGGGATGTGAGATTCTGTTTCATCTATCCATTAGACCAGAGGTTCTCAACTTTATGAAAACACCTTGGAGGGGTGTTTTTCCACCCTCATGCCTTCCCCACAACATACTCACTTAGAGCTCCTCATCACCCCTTACAATAGTGAGAAGGATAGAGCCTGGTATGCCACTCGAATTTGGCCCATCTGTACCTCCATCATGACAGACAGGCACAGGTGTGCATAGAGATACCCTCAAAGCAGAGGTATGGTGAGGTTGCAAGGTAGGACAGAACAGGTGTGGCGGGAGCAGGACCTAAACTCTTATTTTGTAACTGACTAGATGTCAAGTAGGAAGCAAACGGGTGGCAGCTCATTCAATAATGGCTGGATACCCAATCCCACTCCTCCACTCCTCAGGGTGGGGTGGGAAGGGCCAGTCCCCTGGGCCCTAGAACTGGTCCCAGCTCAGAGACTCCTGTAAGCCCTATGGAAGGCTGGCACTGCCAGGGTTCCTCTGGCCCATCCGCCAGCCCCCGATCATGCAGCAAGGCAGCCAAGGAAAGCAAAGTCCTCAAGGTTGTGCTGGAGCTACTGCTGCACGGCAGGCCTGGCCTGCACCACCTGCCAGAGGTGCAACTGCACCTGCGTAAAGTGTGAGGCCAGCAGGACCAAGTGCAAGCAGCAGCAATTGGCATGGAGCCGGTGCAGTGAGTGAGGTGAGACCACCAAGGAGCCCTGCCGTGACCCACATGGGTTCTCAGCCCTGTTGTCCTCCTCAGCCATTTCCACAACTCTCTCCCACCCCACCCTAGGCCTGGCAGGGGGCCAACCAGATCAAATTTGAGTGGTGTTACGACTCCACGTGCCAGACTGCAATGCTATTCGCTCAAATTTGCCCTGGCTACCCCACTGTTGGTGATGGGGTGGGAGGGCCAGGCCAAATGTCAGTGAATGGCATTACTGAAACCTTGTTGTGCCCCCCTCACCCCCAGTTGAGAACTTCCATGCTAACTGATTTTACTGTTGTGATCACACACACTTCCTGTATATTAATAGTGGTTGGAATGAAATCCATAAAAGGAAGGACATTGAGAATATAGGTTCTCATTTCTCCAGAGCCCCACACAACTTCTCCAGAGCCTTCTGTAACACAACTGTGACAAGAGACAATCAGGCTTGGTTCAGTAGCCAGTCCTGAACTCTTAATTTGTTTTGTTTTTGAAAGCTGTAGTCAGAACTTTGCTAGACCTTATCTACAGGGAGAAGTTGCATCACTTTAACTTAAATGGGGTTTTCAACCTCTTATTTTGGTGTAAGAGTAGCTTATTTCAGTTTAGCCTAAGTTGATTCCTCATCAACTTAAACTACACTGAAAGAAGCCTGTTTTAAACCCAAACAGTTATTGTCCACACAACCATTAGCATCAGTTTACTAAACCAGTTTTTAAAATAAATAATCAAACCTTAAATCAAGTCAGTTCAACTTTCTCAGGCTGTCAAACCCTTACTTTGAAGTATAGTCGTTTTGTGTAACCAAGACCAAAACAGCCTTGAACAGATCAGTAACAGGAAAGAGGTTCCGTCTATGGTGATACTGCAAATTCAACTGTCGTAATGTACAAACTGACAACCTGTCAAAAGCTGATAGATCATATGCTTGCCATGGACAAATATGTTTGCATATTTAGTCATATTACAATCCAGACACTACAATGAAAATGTACCTAACCACACCTGTCTAGGAATGCTTATGAAAAAGTTACCACATATGCCTAATCAATTGTGTAAAACTGCTCCAGGAAGTGTTATTTTCTTAATTAGGCCCAGCATCATTGCACCACAAAGCAACCTCTGAAACCACAAGGCTACATTTTCCCTTATACTTATTTTAAAATTGCAAAATAGTTTCATAGAAATTGGTAAGAAAGACCTTTTTTTTGTCTAGACAAGTTTTTACAAGGAAGTTTTAAATCAGTGGTTCTCAAACTTTTGTACTGGTGACCCCTTTCACATAGCAAGCCTCTGAGTGCGACCCCCCTTATAAATATATAAAAAAGTGTTTTTAATTTAACACCATTATATATGCTGGAGGCAAAGCGGGGTTTGGGGTGGAGGCTGACAGCTTGCGACCCCCCCCATGTAATAACCTCGCGACCCCCTGGGGGGTCCCAACCCCAGTTTGAGAACCCGTTTTAAATCTTTCAGACCATTTATAACTGAAATGCTGACACCCTTCACAATGACAGCACAGCTATAAAAGGCTCCTTCGCTACATTAAATAATAACCAAATGGTATGCTAATTAACTTTCCAGTGAACTGTCTGCATTCCCTTCAGATTTCCTCTGGCTACAACTATGATAATCAGGAGAACAAAGACTTTGGTACAGCCACCAAGGAACCAGTAAATCAGATCTAGTCAATATGATTCCATTACACTCACATAGGGGTATCTCTTGGTTTGTTTTAAATATTGTACCCCAAATAGGAAGGTTTTTTTAAAGTGTTGAAAACCACATTTCTGTGCAAATTCACTCCCTTTAGTCTTACAGACACAAATATCCTCTACAATATAATTGTTCTCAGGCAAACCAGTTTACCTTTAATTCCCACTTCCTCCCAAGCCTCTCTGGACAGTGGTTTCTGGCAATGCATCAGTCCCTTTTATCCCAGTTTCTTTTTATAAATCCAGGGTCATGTTTCCTTTCCCATCTCATGTGATGTGCTGGACTGAAGCTCTGCCACTGTGGTTAGTGCAGCCCACTGCCAGATCCTATCCCATACCATGCCACGCCAAACCAGAAGAGATCATTTCACCCTTCAGTGTCTTAAACCTTTCATTCTGCACCCTTCTTTGATTTGCAGAGAAATCATGTTCACACCGTCACTCAAAATTGTATCTTGCATTTTCTTAAATATGCTTTGCAAAAATTTTCTGCTACATTCAATTAATCAAATGCAATATAAACACTTTCAGAAGGCTAAATTTTGCAAAAGGAGAAAAAGAAAATGATTTGTGATGGCTTTATCTTTTCAGTTGTCCTTACTCTCAGACTCCTACATCTCTCTGTTCTCAGCCAAAATCTATTGTACCTTCCCACACCTCCAGTTTGCAAGACTGCAGAATAGAGAGCTAGCTATTTGACTAGCAAAATTAAAACCCCATACACTTCTCAAGCTACAGGAATAAAAAAGTGTTTACTCTTTCCAGACAACCATGTCAAGGACCTTAAATATCTTGGCTCCTTTAAGCCCCTCACTCTCTGTGAACCCCCAATTCTTACCTTCCAAAACTGCAAGCACTACTCCCCCCAAACGTCTCACTCACAACTCCTTGTATCCTACCCTCTTGAGCTTCTGACTCTTCTTAAGGGCTCTCAGCCTCTGCTCTTGGGGAACCCACTATGTTTCCACCGGCTTAACATTCAGCCTCCCCCGATCACGCTGGTAACAGCATCCCACCCTTCACCCCACCGCCTTTTCTTCCCATAATGAGCCACCCAGACACCTCCCCTTTGGCTCCCTAATTCTCTTACCAGGCCTCCTACCCACTCTGCTCCCAAGCACACCCCTCACCCCAATGCCTCCTTCTCCCAGTCCCCCCCACTGCCGCCCCCAACCCACACTCACTCTTAACCCAGGCCAGCCCCTCCCCCATTCTACTTTCTGCCCACCCCACCCCCGCCTACTTCCGACCGCCCCCATCTAGCCCCTCTCACCCCCCCCACTTTTAGTGCCCCCCCCAACACCGCTCACCTCCTCCTCGCTCTCGTTGCGGAAGCACAGGCAGGCCGCCCGCTTCTTGTACCCGTCCCCGTCGTAGGTGCGAGTCTGGTTGGACTTGAGCTTCATCATCCTCCGTTCTGGGGAAGGGGGGGCAGCGAGGGGGCTGAGTGGGGGCTCGGCTCCGGGGCGCTGAGAGGAGGCGGAAGGGGCTCGGCTCTAGGCCCAGGCGGAGCGGAGGACACCGCGGATGGGGCGCAAGGCCCAGTGGGGAATAAGGCGGCGGGGGGGCGGCCCTGAGGGGAGTGGGACCCGCCGGTCTCCGGCAGCGGGGACCCGCCTCCCAGGAGAGTCTGTCACACGCCGGGAGCCTCCGCTACACGCTGCTGACGCTGCCGCCTCTCGCCCGCCTCATCCCCCCCGTCAGCTCCACCAGCCCTGCCGCCGCCGCCAGCTCTCCGGCCGCCGCCAACGACGACCACGACGCCATCTTGGGGCACGCTACGCAAACGGCGTAAAGGCAGCGGGCGGGGGCGGCTAATGCGGTTGCAACGGCCGCTGCGTAACCGGCGTGAAGAATCGGCCCCCTTCCGTACGCAGCACGAGCTCTACTGGAAGCACGCGGGGTAGACCAACGCCAGGAATAGGGACGGCCGTACGCAGTTTGCGGCCGCGGTGGGGGGCGGAAGCTGACGCTTACGCAAGTTGTGTATAGTAGGAAGGGCAGACAAACGCTAGCTGCTTGGCGTAACTTTTTGCCCATGGCTGTCGGCTTGACGCAAAACACGGGGCTTACCTAGAAAGAATACCTGTCTGGTAGAGATTACGCTACGCTACTAGCGTAGCAGTGGAGCCCTGCGATCGTTCCAGTGTAGCAGCCCTGAGCACTTGGGGTGGGTGGGACAAAGGTGGCTTCAGCCAGCTGGGCTGGGGGAGGGGAACAGGACCTGGGGGTGATTCCTCCGGAGAGGGGAGAAAACTTCCTCCTGCAGTGCTAGTCCATTGGGGGCCTTAACCAGAAATATTTTTCCCCCTTAAAAAAAAAAGCACATAGGGGACTCCCCCTTGAGCTGCTCAGAAGCCCCTGCCCACTTGCTTAGTCTGCTTTTGCCAAGCACTGGCTCTGCTACTTGATATCTCCTGGTTGCCTGGGAAATTAGAAGAGGGAGTCAGCTACTGGCCAGCCCCCTCTGCCTCGTTTGGGTGGGTGGAGGAATAAGAGGGGGAAACAACCTGCTTTCAAGGGGAGAGGAAGAACAACTGGCCTGGGGTGGTATGCAAAGAAAGGTGCCCACAGGCAGTAACTCAAGAGCCAGCTGAATTCCTGGCCCGTACATTGCTGCTTTCCACCCTAGGAGCTCAAAGTACTACACCCAGACCTTAATGAATTACACCTGGAGCAGAAGGCAAGCCGCCATACAATGGGGCTGATTGCATATGTAGTTAGATATTTATAGCACACCAATCACCACTGAAACACGTGCCTCCTACTTGTGGCTCCCACAGAGGCTGCCCTGGCAACCTCAGCATTAGGTGCCCTGTGCAACTGCAACTTAAAGGGGGGTGATTTTGACCTATTACAGGTTAAGTCCTAGGTACTAGGCCTAGTTTATGGTAGAAAAATGCACACACACAGACCAAATTCCAATTTTAGAACTACCAACCCAGCTGCCAGGGGAGAAAAGAGACCACAAAGCCCAGTATGAAGCACATGATGGCTGGGCAGGGGCAAAGTATTCTTAATGAAAGACAACAAACTTCCTGATCTTTAGGAGAATCCAGAGTCCAACCACTTTGGAAAGCTGAAAAATCTCCCTCTGGAGAAAACCTTTCCAGCATGAGAAAGGCAGAAGACTAGGTGGGTGAGATAATATCTTTGGACCCACAGCTACACTGCATAACTCAGAGCACTGACACACCCATCTAGCAAATAAACCCCCTATTTACAAAACAAATATGGGAGGGGCAGAGAAAAGAAGGAATTAAAGAAATCTGAAAAGTTCCCAAGATTCCACAAAATCGCCTAAGGATTTTGATATTGATTTTACATGAAAAACAGCTAGCTAGTGTGGGGATGGGTTGCAGCATAAATCCCTAAAATAGATCATGGACAGTAGGTGCAGCTAAATGTATGCTGAACATGGTTTGAGTACAAGGACAAAACACATTTCAGTAACACTGGTTAAAACTCAATCGAGGCAATTTTCCTCCTGCAGAGAGCATTTCTCTCACTGCTTCAGTAATAATTGAACTACACTTAACTGGAAGTAAAGGGCCTTAAGCTAGCAGGGCCCCTGCTTTAAACAAGTGGGTCCTGCTAGCAAGACACTTTCAGCAAAAAAGTCCTTCTCTCTGGTCTGGCTGATGCTTTTGCTCAACTCCCATAGCAGAGCAGAAGTTTGACCACTTTCAGAGCAGACTACAAGGCTCATCTGTTTATGGAAAAGTGCTGGAGGAGGGGTGGGGGAAAAAGCTAGTTATACTATTGCTGTTTAAAGAATTATTAGTGTTACTAAAACATTTTGGAATGTATTTTTGTAATTTGTGGGCCAAAAGCACAGGCTAGGTGTAACACAAGAGTGCTTTATTTTTGAATAGTTTGCGGTCTATCGTTGAATTCATTTGTATGTCCTTTGACAAAGCTAAATTGGTGCAGGTCACTGTTTGCATGGTGTTATGTTTCTCACAATTCTGTACATTGTTTTACAAACAAAACACTCAGTGAAAGGTACAACGATGTTAATTTTCATAACAAGTTAACACACCTTATTGTATTTTTACTGGAATAGGGCCTAGGGCTGCTACAACAGTTCTTAAAAGATTTATGTAAACCAGGACCCCATTGCGGTAGGTACTAACTATAAAGACAGTTTTTGTCTCGCACTATTTACAAGCTTAGAAAAAGAAGAAACATTTACACTTTTCTGAGGGTGGGATCCCCTCATTTGAAGGCTTCCCTGGCTAACTTTATCAGCGTGACTTGATAGTGTATAGGAAGCTAGCACAGACAGCATAAGACAGGGTTGATGTGTTCTCATGAGCTGTTTTACTGAGAACAGAACGCTGGAGCACAAGTTAGAATTTCCTATTGTCTACATCCTCATGTATTGCATTTCTGTAGTCTAGACAGAAAGTGACAAAGGTGTGTATGAGTGGGGGCAGGTCATGGTCTGCTAGGATAGGAAGGAGTCTCCCAGCCAACTGGAGATGATAGAAAGTGTTATTTGTGCTACTTGAGAGTTTAGGGTCCCTGAGAAATCTAGAAGCCTTCTACTAACCTCCAATTGACCAACTGTAGGTATTTGCCTGTAACTGCAACAGCAGGTTTGTCATAGTACAGAAAGTAATGTTTTCACCCCTCAGCAGTACAGGAAAGCTCCAGGTGGATTGGTGGCTCAGGGCAGAAGAAAGGTCCCCCAAGAATAGATTTGGACCGGGGGGGAGGGAGAAAGAAGGGTTTGAAGAAACCACCTGCACAGCAATAGCTCTTGTACCCCTACTCCCTCAAGTTTAACTATGCCCCTCCGCCATAATGACAACTTGTACTAAGTTTTGTGACAGCTCTGTGAGTTGTTTTAAAATGTCATGACAAATCAATGCCCCCACTAGAGCTGGAGGAGGCTGAAGTATTACAGCCGCCTTGCAAAGAGCTTTCCTATGTCCACCCCACCCTACTCAGATGTAGCTCTCCAATAAACCTCTCATCTGAACACTAGATGGAAATCTCAATTACAAGTCTGCTGAGCCCCTCCAATGTCCCAAGGTGGACTTTTTATGACTATCACTATCACGAGGAAGACTGATAGGAAGGTTCTTGGCTAGAAGAGGTGACAGCACAGCACCAGGAAGTTCATTTTTAATCGTCAGTGTTGAATCACTTCTTTCTAGTACCGTACTTCAAGGTCAAACATCACTAGTGCATTCTGCTTTTTAATCAGTATTGGTTTCGTATTGAGACATTCACAAGCATTGGGATTTTGAAGTGACACTGCTGAGGGTTTAGATTAGAACAGTGGTTCTCAAACCATGGGTCACAACCCTGTTACAACAGGACCGGTGTTAGACTTGCTGGGAGTCTGGGGCTGAAGCCCTCAGGCTAGGGCTTCAACCTTACTTAAGGTCATGTAGCAATTTTTGTGGTCAGCAGGGGGTCCTAGTGCAATGAAGTTTGAGAACTACTGGATTAGGAGAATCCCTTGAAATTCAAGTGCAATTAAGTCTGTCACGTGCAGCTAATGAAACAAGACCAAAGCTAGCTCTGGAAAAGACAAAAGGTGCATCTCTGATTAAGCGCAGCCCAGACTAATGCTCAAGTTACCATTTGTGAAGTTACATTCCAGACATCAGCATCTCACAAGTTAGTGGCACATTTAGATGAAGCAGAGAACATGATGTGAACAGGACCAAAAAAAAAAAAAAAAAAAAAAAAAATACAGCGTCAGTTAAATAAGCATATGCATCTATCTAGTCAGTCTGCAATTACAGAGAATGAGGTATCACAAACTAAGATGGGCATAGCTTAGAGAGTTGATAAGATTCATTTTACATCTGTTGCCATGTACCACCCAGAGAGCTAAAGTGTGGCATGATTTTAATATACATTAAAAAAAGGCAGACAATAACTATGAAAACAAGAGAAAACAAGCAGGACAATCATGTTAAACTACAGTAGTTACATAGCATCAGTAATCAATCCAGAAATATTAACCCACACAGTTATTCATTATGCAACACCACGACTGGCTAAAAACAAACAAACAAAGATCAAATGCAACTATAAATGACTGGAAATGTTTGTTTGCTAGGCAGGTATCTAGGCTATAAAGTGTATCATTAGACCCAGGGGTTAGGGAATCCATATTTTAGCTGTAATTTAGTAGCCGTAACTTGGCTATATTGTGATCTACAGACTTCAGTTAATGCAGCTGGAACTCTTGATTTAAAAAAAATTGATGAAAATTAGAGATGGCTGCATTTGAATTAACCTTTCACAAGTGAAAATGACCACCTGCTATGACACCAATATACTCTAGTTTTAGAAAAAAAACACACTGCTCCATCTCATTTCACCCCCATCTCTAAAAATACCTTCTTCACGGGGGTATTTGTGGGATTAATTTCTTAGTGTCTAACTTTGCAGTGTTAAGGAGTGTTAAGACCACTTTATAACACACACACTCACTCAAAAGCCATTCAGGTAAGCATTCTATTACAGTATGTGACGATCATATAAATTTGCATTATGACGACATCTACTGGTGTGACCATGTATTGCATACAGGCCTATTTCCAACGATCAATTGATCCAAACCATCAGAATCAATCTAGAAAGTAAGATATGCAAGTCTTTCAAGGAAACTCTTGGGCTAAGACAGGTAAGTGTTCTTGGGCTAAGACAGGTAAACTCTGCTAAAATACAGGAACTTGGGTTTCCTCCCCGCTCCCCACTGTCCAACTGTGTATGTGCATAACATAGCTACACTTCACAATTGTTTGATTTACCTGGAAGTAGCAGCTCATGAATTTGTTGATGGCTCCAGTCGGTTAATCAGGCCCTCGATTTGCTCAGCACCTGAAAAACTTGTCCTTCATAACTGTGGTGTTTGCAACACAAAATTATGCAGCACATTAGAATATTGGGGAAGTAAATTAACTTCCCAACACAAGAAATACCATAGAGATTGTGGGGTCATTCATACCTGTTTTAATAAAAGCCTCTACCTGAGAAAGATTTTTCAGTTTGCAGCACAAGACTGTCACAGAATCCAGACCTCTTGCTACAGTTTATACTTGCCAGAGTAGACATCTATAGCCAGGCAGCCAATTCAGATCACAAACTAAAAACAGACATGAAATAATTAAGGGAACAGATCCTGGGTGCATAAGCAAAATTGCCTTGGAGAAATGGCTGCTTGTCCCCCATATCTGGCACAAAACTAGGACAACTCAATTTTTCTATTTTTTGCTAAGCAACATCAGAGGCCAGAGACCATCCTGTTTTACTGTAAATGATTACCTACACACTAGGATCTGAAACAGTAAAGAGTACATTGACCTTATGAGAACTTTGTCCTTTAGGGAGCAGCTATGGATATCCCATATTTTATTGTTCTGCTGGAGAATTCCCCGCGAGTACTGCAAACCACGCCAAGCTGGTGCAGAGTGCTTGCCACTGGGGCAAGAAAAAAAAAAAAAAGTAGTCAATCATGAAGGGCTGGGTCCTCCAACCTTTTTAATGTAGTTACTTGAGTCTCACATCACATGAATCTTCCTAGATTCTGTGCATTTTAGCTGCTTCAACTTCACATTACCCATAATGCAAGATCAAGTTCTATAGGTGAGTCAAACCAAGTTGTCTTATTAAAAGGGAGGCCCCATATTACCAGAAACCTACTATGGGTGCCCCCTTACTGAAAGCATAAAGGGTACCAGTGGTACTTCCAAGCTGCCATGGAACCCAAAAGGCCATGTTCTCCTCTGGAAAGAACCATCAACCTCACAATCAAATCCTGCAGCAGCAATCACCTCTCCAATCACTGCTGGGAAGTCAGACTGATTTCCTAGGACCTAGTCTACTCCCCGTAACCCACTTTCTAATCAGGATTATCTTCAACTCTGTCATAGCACGAGCCAGAAGGCTTAGTGGTATAAGTTGTTGCTTTGCTTGTCTCTGATAATAGCTTCCACACATTCAAATGATACAAGGAAGCAAACAGTGAGATTTTCACCTATTTTATTATACACAAAAACATGACCAGAGAATTCTACTGAGGAGGCTGACCACGTCCACGACCGAATCCACCTCTCTGCAAAAAACAAACAAAAAAACCAAACACACAGCATTAGAAGTTTGGCCACATCAGCAATTGAAAGTAGCACATAGCTACCAAACCAAATATTAAGTACATTCCAAGTGCACTGAATCATTGTTTCCCCTGATGTGGAATTCTGTACTTGAATTATAAGGAGAACCATTAATTTTGCCTGCCTTACCTATCAAGTTCAGCAAATGAAGACTTTTAAGGACTTGTTTTTTAAGTTAGTTACCATGTGTATGGAGAGCAAGGTGGAACTCTCGCTTGTCAAAACAACAGCTCTTGTCTTTATAATCTATGGTGTGGCCCAAGCCCTCCTGACCCAATGTTTGACAGACTAGGAATTCAACCCACCTCTCTACTGAGAGTTTAGTGCAGCGGTTCTTAACCTGCAGGCCATCTAATACCCTCAGGGCCGTACAGCTAGTCTATATATTGTGTGGATGTGGCCCACAACACAGAGAACTGTGCATGCAGCCCACAATGGTAAATAGGTTGAGAAACACTGATGTATTACCTCCAAGCCAGTCTGCTCAAACTAATGCTCTATCAAAGTGTGAAGCAACCCCTTTCATCAGGAGCTCTCACAGTGCTTCACAAATATTAAGCCACCATCTCACTTCTGAGATGAGGTAAGGGATATAGAGGTTGACATGCTAATAAAATGTAGCAGCACCTCAAATGAGAGGCATTAAGTGTATTACTGTACACCTTCAAATTTAAGATAGATGGGGAGGATAACACATTGAGTTGAAAACCGAAGGAAAATTTAGCATGACAAATTCCAATTGCAACTTGAGTATTGTGGCCAGATCGACAAAGCTACCACTTTCCCAAAAAGAAGAATCAATCACAGATGATCATGGCCTTGTAGTTTTTTTTTCACCTGAAAAATTAGACAGATACACTGGGGGCTCTCTACCCAGTACTGATCAAATGATCACTATCACCTCAGAAGACCTTAAAGGAATGCTCATGTGCTGCCTAGCCAAGTAATTATCTCAACCAATGCTGTTTAGCATGTGAAGTCTGATATGATAGTTGTCTAAGTGGTGTAACTGCAGGCTCAAAAGGAGCTCCATCTATAGGTAGTGCCTTATACCATTCCAACGGCAACTGCCAGCTGTTTAAGGTGGTGAATAAATGATGAATGCATTGTGAAAATATACCATCTCTTCCAGGGATAGCTTTAGTTAAAGCATTTCTAAAGCATTAACATAGGAGAAAAAAAAAAAAACCCTCTCTCAAATGCAGATACTTACAAATTGGAATTCAGTAGCTGCTCCTGCACCAGCCTCAGCCTTTTTGTCAGCCCCAACTGGGAAGAGAGAAAGAGCTATTCTAGAAAACTACAAAACAGAGAGAATCTACTGCCTGGGCTTTGACGACAAACTCTTATTTAGGATACACTGTCTTTAACACTATCAAATGTTTAAAACCTTGGGACGTACACACCATAGGCTACAGATAATTTCCACAATGCCTTTTTTTTTTTACTGCAATTTCAAGTTAGGGCAATAGGAAACATTATGCCACATGGAAAAAAAAAATCCACCAACCCAGCTTGCCATGTAAGCATAACTGCAGTGCAGTGGGAGCATATTGATAAACAGACCTTAGAATCACCAGGGAAGTGGAGGCTTGAGACCTCAGACATTCATCACAGAAATTAGCATGTTGTATATCTAAACACTGAAGACATTTCTACAGAAGAAATGTAAACTGCACAAATGACAGGCTCGGTCTGATTAACTCATACTTGTGCTAGATAGGATACTTACGTGGAGCAGTACTGCGTCTGTAGGTATCTCTGTCAGCCTCTCCCCGAGTAAGACGAGCAGGGCGTTCACCTTCCAGACCTGCGAGTTACAACAGCATTATCAATCCAAGGAATCCAATCTAAAGAGGCCTCTATTATCCTACAAGTGTGATGTTGTGGGGAGGCTTTGATACAGGATCAAAGGGACATATTATATGCTCAGGCCTTATCAGGCCACAAATGCAGGTAACTAAATTTTAAATGCAGTTCTCTATCATGGCCACACTACTAGACAGTCTTATAGATCAGTGTCTCTCAACCTTTCTAGACTACTGTACCCCTTTCAGGAGTCTGATTTGTCATGCATACCCCAAGTTTCACCTACCTTAAAAATGACTTGCTTACCAAAAAAAAAAAAAATCAGACAAAAATATTCTCATTTTTACCATATAATTATAAAATAAAACTGAAATATAAATATTGTACTTACATGTCAGTGTATAGTATATAGAGCAGTATAAACAAGTCATTGTATGAAATTTTAGTTTATACTGACTTCACTAGTGCTTTTTATGTAGCCTGTTGTAAAACTAGGCAAATATCTAAATGAGCTGATGTAACCCCTAAAAGACCTTTACATACCCCTAGGGGTATGCATTCCTCTGGTTGAGAACCACTGTTAAAAACACATCAACAGTGTTTGAACAATACAAATCTAAACATGTCGCCGCTTGCGGGGAGCCACCCAAGGTGAGCCCCACCCAGATCCAGCATCCCACATCCCTCCCACACCCCAATCCCCCCCACACCCAAACTCCCTCCCAGAGCCCATGTCCTGCTTTCCAAACCCCTAGTGGCTGTTCCTCCGCCTAAGAGCAGCAGGGGGATGTTGCCACTTCCAGGGAGTCACTCAGAGCCAGGTAGGGAGCCTGCCGGACCCATGCTAACCGGACTATAGACCGGACTTTCAATGAAGATCAGAAATGCTGGTTTATAGAGCTTTCCAACTGGTAAAGTGCCAGATTACACAGCTTTTACTGTATTTGCTTGCCAAGTTTCTGATCAATACAAATACAACTAAGTTTTTACCAATCCTGAATTTACAACACACTTTCAACTACATTGTGCTTCTAGCCAGGCCAACTGCAAAACTTGCTTCAAATAAGGGCTAAAATTGAAGGTTATAATATAAAGAACACATCATGGTTGTGTTTATTACGCCTGACAAATGCACACTTTTACCCCAAATCCCAACTGTACAGAATTCTCTCTCCAGCCCCAAATATTTGATTAAGCGTGGGCAAAAGTATCTTCGGTCTTAAAAATGGGATAAATTAGTAAGCCTAAGAAAAGGTGATCTAAAGTAACATAAAAAGATGGGCAGATGCTTCCAGGGAAGGAAGCAAGAGGCAGAGCTCAAATAGAAGCCTGGTGGACTTGCCAGCCTTTGAAACTTTGGGTGAACCCTGCTGCAAGTCCTTAAAGATGAAGGTCTCCTACACCAGTGGCTCTCAACCTTTCCAGGTTACTGTACCCCTTTCAGGAGTCTGATTTGTCTTGCATACACCCATGTTTCACCTCACTTAAAAAAGCTACTTGCTTACAAAATCAGACATAAAAATACAAAAGTGCCACAGCATACTATCACTGAAAAATTACTTACTTGCTCATTTTTAACCATATAATTATAAAATAAGTCAACTGGGATATAAATATTGTACTTACATTTCAGTGTATGGTATACAGAACAGTATAAACAAGTCATTGTCTGTATGAAATTTTAGTTTGTACTGACTTCACTAGTGCTTTTAATGTAGCCTGTTGTAAAACTAGGCAAATATCTAGAGGAGTTAATTAATGTACCTCCTAGAAGACCCTGGAGGGTATGTGTACCCCTGGTTGAGAACCACTGCCCTACACCATCAGGCACCAATGCTTTACTGTTCTACCAGTAAAACCCTGAGTAAAGGCTGGTGGGTGGATGGCTCACCACAAACTGACATGCAGTTTCAAGCATATTGAGAAATGCACAGCTCCCTTATTGCTCCTTTCTAGAGGAAGAAAATTGCCAGCCTATTAGAATTCATGAAAAACTAATTCTCATATTTAGGTGAAGGGAAAACAAAATGCTTCTACCATAGAGAGGTATCCAAGTGATACATCTACAGGGCACAACCTCTGAACCGGCCTTCTGCTACATCCACTTCTTCTCACTCCTCTGAGCAAAGAGTGCTACACTTTGGGTAGTTATGTTCTCTAAGAAGGCCTGGGCACTATGGCACTGAATCCTGGCCTCTCTCTACCCTGAAACTTGCAAACAAACACTATTACACACATAACATGGTTACAAACACTTAAGAGACTGTGGTATCAAATACACAACAGTACTCTAGAGCACAATTAGCACACTTTAAAATACCATTTGCCTTGAACAGAGAAAGCATGTTATAACCACACTAGCTATTACACCTGGACAATGAGTATAGCTCTATCCGTGTTGTAGTTAACACCATTTAAGTTGTAGAGTGTATAGGGATTAAGACTTCTGCACTATACACCCTGAGGTAAATAGGGCAATAGCCAATTTACCTTCACTAGAGGAACTCAAAAGCATATTTTAACCTGCAAGTTTCACATACACTTCTGTAAGTCACAGCATCTCACAGGAAGGAGAAAAGACAAACTTGGGATCTTAGTCTATGCCTACACTATACAGCTTTTAACGCCACAGCCATGCCGCTAAAAGTCGCAGTGTAGCTGCTGGTTGTCAGCTCTCCTGCCAACAATGCGCTGTTCACACTGGCACTCGTCGCAGAAAAACTTGTGTCTTTCAGAGGTGTTTAATACCACCTTCCCTCTGCCCCCCTGAAAGACAAATGTTTTGTTGTTCAATTGTGAGTGTAGACATAGCCTTAGAGACCCAGCAACAAGTGGGTTTCATTTAAATCCTGTCAACACTAGTCAAGGCATCTTCCTAGGAAGAATTTACACTGTTTGCTCAAAAGGCACTACAGTTTCTCTGGCTAACATAGAAAGGTCTTAAAGAGTTACATAGCTCAGCGGTTTGAGCATTGGCCTGCTAAACCCAGGGTTGTGAGTTCAGTCCTTGAGGGGGCCACTTAGGGATCTGGGGCAAAATCAGTACTTGGTCCTGCTAGTGAAGGCAGGGGGCTGGCCTTGATGACCCTTCGGGGTCAGTTCTAGGAGATCGGGATATCTCACGCACATTTTGGGCTGAGCATGTGACTCAGCAGTAGTTAAATGAGCTACAATGCAACTTAAAATCAGCGAGGCACTTCCCAGCTGAAGAATAAAACTATAGTGCAGGCTCCTCTAAGTGGTAAGGACGAGGATATTCCTGCTTGAGGGCAGATTACTCTTACTGTGCACAAGTGGCAGCCCCCTCCCCCACGCAAAAGTCCCACTTTCTCCCACCTCAAGGGAGAGCCAAAATTGAGAGTCACTGCAGGCCTTGTCATATCAACTTTTGCAGTAGTTTCTCTCCTCCATCCAGGAGCTATTCTCAAATTTATGGCCACACCCAGATACCAAGTTGGGCCTTCAGAAGTTCAGCTGGGTTTGCAGCAACAAGTCAAGGTACATCAAACTGAAATATAGTCAACTTAAAATAAAAAGGTATTTCAGGAAATACACCTGCCCCCTGTTCCCTGGGTAACTTGTGATTATAAAAGCACATTTTTCTATATTTTAATGTTTCTTCCCCTGTTGCTGTGTTACATAAACAAACAGGGGAAACTGACTAGACAGAGAAAATAGCAAGGAAGTCAGAGTGCTTCCAAATGCACAAAGCAAACAAGTCAAAGGCCTGTCTGCACTGGATGGGATGGGAAGAGGAGGGAAAATCGACCTAAGATACGCAACTTCAGCTACGAGAACAGCGTAGCTGAAGTCGACATATCTTACTTTGACTTACCTCGCGTCCTCACAGCGCGGAGTCGATTGCTCCCCCGTCAACTTTGTTTCTGCCTCTCGCCAAGTTGGAGTTCAGTAGTCGACGGGAGAGCGACCGGGGATCGATTTATCGTGTCTATACTACACATGATAAATCGATCCCCGATAGATAGATCGCTACCCGCCAATCCGGCGGGTAGTGCAGACGTACCCAAAGATAGATAATTGTTCACTTTCAGTTTTTGTAATCTTCAGTGTTAGGCTTGGTCTACACTAAACCCCCAAATCGAACTAAGGTACGCAACTTCAGCTACGTGAATAACGTAGCTGAAGTCGACGTACCTTAGTTCGAACTTACCGCCGTCCAGACCCAGCAGGCAGGCTCCCCCGTCGACTCCGCGTACTCCTCGCGGCGAGCAGGATTACCGGAGTCGACGGGGAGCACTTCTGAGTTCGATTTATCCGTCCAGACTAGACGCGATAAATCGAACCCAGAAGTTCGATTGCCTGCCGCCGAACCAGCGTGGTAAGTATAGACAAGCCCTCACAAACACTGAAAGCATATTCAGCAGTATAAACCGAGGGGGGTGTCAGAGTTTAAGGCCGGTAAAGGCTACTAGATCATCCAGTCAAACCTCCTGTTGATGGCCTCTGATATACACTACCCAGCACCCACAAACTAACCCAACAACCAAAATCAGACTCAAGTGTCCTTTAATCTTGTGCACAGTGGCAGAAAAAAGTGGCAGTGATGTGTGTGGTTTGGTCATAGCTGTCTAAGACTAACTTATGCTTTATCTTTACTATAGCACCTTTTCACCAGAGAGAATCCCCAAAAGTTTTGTAAGCCATTCATACAGCTCCAATGAAACACTGCTACCTAAGAAGGTGAAGTGGCAGGCCACCAGCTACTGTGCAGCACATTGCATAACAGGGTGAAATTTTAATCAACCCCAATTTTGTTCTGTGAGTTATATTAGCCATCCTAAAATAAGCCTCTTGGAAGTACATGAATTGACTAGATTTCAGGGGTCTGTAGGAACCATTCATATATTTTGTATTTATGTACTGCCTTTGAAAATACACATTTACTCTATACACATTGATTGCTCCTATCTGAAATATCCATTTTGCAAGTATATCCCTATCTAGAAGGATACTTCTAGCTTCAAAAAAAGAAGCTAAGTGGTTTGCAATGAATTAATAGACAAGTCCAGAAGGGACTTTGGTGATCATCTAGTCTAACTTTCTGTGTAACACAGGCCACAAGACTTCCTTGAGTTAACTCCTGGTTGAACTAGAGCGTTTTCCCCCCCCCCCCCCCCCCGCCTTAATTTAAAAGTTACTACTGATGGAGAATCCATCACAACTCTTGGTAAGTTGTTCCAATGTAAGTTACTCTCACTGTTAAAAAGTTGCAACTTACTTTAGTATGACTTGGTCTAGTTTCAACTTCCAACCATTGGATCTTGTTTCACCTTGACCTCTGTCTGCCAAACTCAAGTCAAATTTCTGTTCCCCATCTAAGCACTTCTAAACTAATCAAGTCACTCTGTAACCTTTGTTAAAATAAATACACTGAGTTCATTGAATCTTTCACTACAAGGCATGTTTTCTAATCTTTTTTATCATTCTTCTGGCTCCTCTCTGAACCCTCTCAAAACTTCCTTTTTGATCTGTGGACACCAGAACTGGACACAATATCAAGTACCAGTCACACCAGTATCAAACACAGAGGTAATAGAACTGCCCTACTCGATATTTTCCTTTATATAGCCAAAGATCGCATTTACCCTTTTGGCCACTGCACGGCACTAGGAGCTCACATTCAGCTGATTATCCACTATGCCCATACAGTCCAGCAACCTCAATTTTAATTTACACCATTCTTCTCCCCTGCCCTGTATCACCCATTCAAGAATCCCAAGGTAGCTGCTGCTATTAACTAGTGCTTACCTTTGGGCCGCGGTCTGCCAGTCTCAGGGCGGCTACGGCGCAGGGTGGCAGGCACAATTTCAGGGGGTAGATGAAGATAATCACGCAAATACTGGATACCCTCATTGGTCAGATACCAGTAAAAGTGCCTCCAAGCAAACTGCTCCTTCACATAGCCACGTGATTTCAGTGACTAAGGAGAGAAATTCTAGTTAACCTTTTTGCAGTTGCAGATGGATTATTACATGAGCATTTGATTGTGACCACCTAACATCTTTAAATACTACCAGCCAGACGACTGCAGTAGTTTATTGGGGGTGGGTGGAGAATGGACAACTAGATACTCAATAGCTCAGAAATACATGTGAATGCACAGAAAGACGCAGTATCTTCAACATATTAACTACTTACATTCCATGAAACTAATAATTTAAGGGTCATTATGCAAACCTGAACTAAAAGTGATGCTAAAATCATAGGTTCAGAGAGAGGATTATGAATCTTATGCTACACAATACAAAAGCTTTCTACGCAGTTTGTGTATGATTGATGAAGTTAGTATGAAAAAACTAGTAATCTGGAAAAAAGGCAAATTCCATTGGAGCTTCTGTTTCTCTCTTTAAACAAAATTAAGTAATGTCAGGATTACTCAGGTGGTGCTCAATGCACCAGCTTCATGAGGTCCCAAAACATAAATTAAAGTTGTTTTTACAGCCCAGTGCAGACCCCTAAATTAATTCTTCATACCTGCATGGCTTTCATGACATGGAGGTTGGGCACATTCTTGTCTGCCAGCTCTGGGTGTTTAGGCATGTGAACATCTTTCTTGGCCACCATCACTCCCTCCTTAAAAAGGAGTTCGTAGATGGCAATCCGGTTCTTCTTGGGCATCAACATCTGGATAGAGAAATCAATAGTTAGACTAGCAGTAATACATTAGTGTGTTGCTAGATCTAATAACTGGATTTGTGTTTTATTTTAAGCCATCTGATTCCATGCTGGACCTGCAGTAACTCACTGAACAAACCACCACCACCTTTAACCATGTTAGAAATTATAGGGAATCCTTACTGCACCTTAACTGGCAAGATACATACAAGTTTGCTACAAGATCACATATTTCAGCTGCTCAGAAGCCCATATTATGATCTACAAGGAAGAGCAAGCAGAGTAAACTTTTTGATGACAGTTGTCTTTGTAGTGTAGATGGACCCTAAACCACTATCTCTGCAAGTATGCATTTAGCTGTCTCCACAGACTATTTCTATTACATTTAATTCAATTTTCCCAACAATAAAAGCTACAGACAAGTCCTTCACACACTGAAGCCAGACAAGGGAAGCAGGGAGAATAGTCTTTATTTTAATTCTGAACAGTAGCAATTTTGAACGGTGCTCTGCAACCATACTTAGGCAAACATCTGCTACAGTATTTGTCAACTAGTGCAGAAGGCAACAGCAAGACCAAGAGATAGTAACACGTGTGGGGTGGAATTACTTTTAGTAATGTTTGTACAATATGCATCCTACATGTTGGACACCTAACAGAACTCCCAATTGCAATGCCTATAATCCACACTATCTAGTTATGTGGAATAACTTTCCAATATTAGGAACCCCTTGATGCTTCACTTCCAAACTGATAGATGGGGGAAGAAAATCCAATAAAGTGTGTGTGTTATCAGGATAGCACCTAATATGTATTTTCCTATGGTAGTCCTACAGTTAAGGTGGCCCAGAAAACAGTAACTGCCCAGTAACCAAAAAAACAAAAACCATTTTGGCTTGGGCTACTTCTTTCTGATTAAGATTTGCACAGCTACAAAACCAAGGCTTGTAAGTGTTAACTCTTTTTAGGATAGGAAGCACTCAACAGCAAAAATCATCCTACATTCACAGAACATCTATGTAAAGAGGAAACAGGTCCCACACACATGGGGGCCAGGAAGAACCCATCACTAAGCAGCAGGAAAATAGCTCTTCAGCACTTTGGTACAGAGCAGCGTGGTGGTACTCAACCTGCTACCCAGTCTCAATCAAAGACTAGAGTCAAACTAGACCTTTCCATCCCCTCCCTGCAGTACAAAGAAAGCAGGACTTTCTTCCAGACCAGCAGGATTAGAGGTGCCACCACTGACTCAGTTTACAAGGGGGTAGAAAATGGAATTCGGATTTGCCACTTTAGCCCTTACTAACCCACCCCCCCCAGTTTAGCCCTTACTAACCCACTCCATCCCCTTCATCCCCCCCAGCTGGGCCCTACCAAGGGCACAACATAGCTTCTCCCACCCTCCCAACAGCAGCCCAGGCCCAGGCCCTCCTTTCCCCCACCCATATACAATCAGCCTTCCAGGCCCCAATCTCCCCCCCGAGGTCCAACGTCCGCCCCTAGGCCGCAAGCTCCCCCGACCAATTTGCAACCTAGCTCCCCCCACCGCCCGGGAAATATCCCCGTGGGCATGAGGCGCAGGGTGCCCGCCCGCCGCCGAGAGCCAAGCCGGGGCCCCCGGCCGCAGGATGGCGGCGATATGAGGGAGATGAAGCGGCTGGAGCCCGGACTTACCGTGGCGGTAACAGTAAGCCCGAGAGCTGGAAAGGAAAGAGCATGCGCGGGGCGGCCTCTTCCGGCTTGCCACGGAGGACCCCACGCAGCTGCGGCACAAGCGTCTAATCGAGTGCCGGAGGGAAATAGCATTTGGACCCCTCTCCCCGAGCAAAGCACGTAGGTGACCGTGCAAGCGCCTGAGTGGAAATGCCACTTATGTACTTGTTGCCAGGTTTTTGGCGGGGGGGGGGGTGGCGACAAGGGGTTTAAGTGGCTTTTGATGTTGGGTGCTTCACTTTTTTTTAAATATACCTAGTTTAAGAGAACAGGGTCCTGGTTTCCAGAGCTGCTGCTCCACTGAATTCAAGGAGAATTCAGCCCCTCTGGCAGTCTAACCAAATCTGTACTTCACGCTGGGCACCCAAATCCAGAGACCCGTTAGACCATATTGAATTAATAACGACATTGGTCCCCCCAGCAAAATGACCTGCCCTGCTATTCTCGGATCCCATCCATGGTAACAAAGCACTGTCATCTGTGGCATGGAGCCAGACAAGTCATCTCCTGTCCCCAATCCTGCAGCTGGACCCCTGCACCCACGAAGCCCTATTTGAAATCAGTGGAGCTCCATGCAGACACAGAGTAGTCCATACTTGCTTATCCATGCAGGATAAGCAAGCCAGTGTTAACACAGATGCCACCTGTCTTCTTTGTAACCGGCCTAAATCAGACCTCTCTCTGATCCTCTGGTCTACTCAACAGAAATTCCTGAGATTTCCGGTATGTCAAAGACGCTATGGGGACTATAGCAGCATAACTATGTTGCTGTAGCTGGCATAATACCGTAGTGTAGACACAGCCTATGCCAATCATAGAATCATAGAATATCAGGGTTGGAAGGGACCTCAGGAGGTCATCTAGGCCAACCCCCTGCTCAAAGCAGGTCCAATCCCCAACTAAAGGGTTTTTCTATCAGTGTATGAATGCCATCTCGCTGAGCAGCAGTAGCTAGGTCAATGGAAGCAGTCTTCTATCGACCTAGCTGCATCTACACTGGGGGTTAGGTTGACACAGCTATGTTGGACAGAGGTGTGGATTGACCGATATAGCTACGTTGACCTAAATTTTAAGTGTAGACCAGGCCTTAGGAGGCAAGTCTGAGGCCATGAGAAATCCCAGTGAAGAGTACGTCCACTATAGCAGCACAGGTACAGTGCTGCAGTTGTGCTGCTGTAGCACCATAGTGTAGGTGCGTCCTACATCGACAGAAGGGGTTTTTCCACCTCTCCAGGAGACAGTAGCTAGATTGTCGGCAGAATTCTTCCATTGGGCTAGCTGCATCTACACAAGGGGCTAGTTCAACCTAACTACAGTACTCGGGACACAAAACTTTTCACAGCCCAGAGCGATGTAGCTATGTTGATCTATTTTTCAAGTATAGACCACGCCTGAATTTCAAGCCAACAGCCTGAGGTTAGGCAGATATGCTATGTCATTAAGATAACAGGGGGCATTGGATCAGTGTTCACATTGCGTCCCCCATCAGCACCTGGCTAATTCCTGGGAAGCTAATGATCCAACTAGCAGACCAAATTCAATTAAGTCACTGAATCCCAGTCACTTGCCAGCCATCACCCCATCACGGTGCCATCCCTGGCTTTCTAGTCAGTCTGGCTTTTCTTTCTCCAATTAAATGTTGAGGGTTTGTTGGCATCCAAGCACAACGTAATCAGCAAAATTAAGGTAACTAATTTCTCCATATAAACCTTGTAAAGGAGCCCAGAGCCAGTGGTGACTGGTGCTCTATAAATGCTCATAATAGTAAACAAGAATAAGTTTTGCAATTACACAAATTAAAATCATGGTGACCACGTACCATATTTTAAAGGAGATGCCTTAGCTGAGAAGTGCTGAGTGTCTCCTCAGAGGTACTGAGCAGATGACAATCAGAACCTCAACAGATCTAGCTTTTGGCACCCAAAACATATCACATCCTCTAACATACTTTGCCTGGTATTTCACTGAAGCATCGTACCCTGTGCACCAATGTATGACTTTGTACCGTGAATAAAACAGTCGAAATACTGACCCTTAAAAAGAAATGCTGATGCTGTCCTGTATTCTTCATACAGATGTCCTTTCCTTCCTTGAAACATAGATGGATGCAATAATTTAAATTCAAATTAGAGGGGGCATTTGCAAAAATCTAAGAGAAATCAACAACCAATCAAACATTAGACAAAATATATGGGTCTTAGATCATGGCCTCAACTGGCTGCTAGACTCTGGATCTTATGAGCTGCTAAGGGAAATGACTTCTCATTAACTTACAAAAAACTATTGAAGCATTCCACAGTAAAAGCACTAAACAACATCACTAATGGAGTGATTACTGGAAACCAAATCACTATTGTACATTGGAGCCTTTGGACCTTTGCTATACAATATTGCAGCTTGTATACATTTATATATGAGAAAAGCAGGGGACCCACCACTGAGAAAGCAGTGAAAATGATATACCTATGGGACAAGTAGACACAGGAAGTCTTTATTATATTCTTTTTGGCATTGTTATTTAATAACACAGATAAATAAAATAAATCATTCTGCTCCCACCAGAGGGCAGAAGGTTCCTCATCCCAGTTTGCATGATCACTCAGAAATCTTAAAAAGCTTGCATCAAAGAACATATTTATTTAGCTATCCACAGGTCTGCATGAAGGGGGTTTTGTCTTTTATTATGGTAACAAACAATATAAGACACACAAACAAATACTCTAGTGATTGAATCTGTGTCTTGGAGTGAAAAACCTGAGGATTAATCCAATAAGCCATTCCCTCCCATTTACAGAGAGTCATTCCTATGCATTATTGTCACTCATGAAAGTCTCTTCACAGAGTACAATCTCTGGCCTTGATCCTGCAGCGAGCTCTTTGTGGGCTGCCTGCATGGAGCTCCTGGCAAGATCAGGGCCTGAGTGGTGAACAGCTAATAAACCAAAGTCCAAACCAATAATTTGTGGAAAAATAAATAAATACACAGCCCACCACTATTAAATTAATTTTGAGGTTTCACAGGTCCACTGGTTTCAAGATGGAGCCTTGCACAGTGGGGCTTGTAGTCTCCATAGGCTGCGTCACTGCATGGAAGATGAGGACAGATGCAACCAGATTCTTTTTTGGCTACTTATGTCTGTCAGATTGTCTCTCATGTGCTCCTGGCCTGTTACTTCTCTGTGGTCCCTCATTTGGGAAAAATTGGGCGCCACCACTGAAATGGAATCATGAGCTGAACAGAAAAAAATAAATAAATAAAGCCATCAAGCTGACCCTATATTTCCACAGCACATCAAAGCAGCTGCTGCCTCCCAAGGAGGCTGCCCTTTCCAGCTGGCTGAACATGCTGAGAGAGAGCTTGCTCTCTGCAACACAATAAAGGTCACGTAGTCTTTAATACAGAAAGGCTAGGGTGAATGTAGCTCATGTTCCCATGTGGAAGAGAATACAGCACATTATCTGAGACATGCAGCCCCAGGGAACTCATCCTTCTCTTGAGAGCCTCAAAATAATACCAGACACGCCACTGCGAGAATCGGACTTTTGGTGGTAGAAGGTGTATACAGCTGTCAGATAGGAGCACCGTAAGAGCCAGTTGCAACCATAATATGGATTGATTGATTCCATCAGCAATCCCAAAGTGACTGTGTATATTATACCAGACCCATTTTCTCCCTAAAATCCTTCCCTAATATGTGGGTCAAGTATTTATTTAACTGCTAATATTGGGCCAAATTCACCTTTCAACAGGATCTTCCCTGCAGACTTTGAAATAGCAACAGAGTTAGCTTGGCCTGCCAGTCCCACTTAAATAATCAACCTTTGCGATAATAAAACAACAATACTTTTGTTTATATACAATCCACTGCTCCAAACCACTCAGGGTTTTACACCAGAAATACAGCCATTACAATTATGCATAATTAGTCCATGCCCAAAGTGTTTTCCAGCCAGATAAATTCAACACGGTCCCTGCCCTGAAGAGCTTCCAATCCAAGGCACCGGTCTTGAATGGTGTTCGGCATGAGCAGATTCTTAGCCCAGTGGGGAGCCCCTACTAAAGTCAATGGGGCTCCATAGGGATGCAGGGATCTGCACACATGGAGCAGCTTCCAGGATAGTAGCTAATTCTAAACGTAATGTAACATGTGGGAGACGAAGGGAGAAAGGTTACACACACACACACACACAATTTTTTGCACTCATAACAATGATATCGCTTTAAATCCCCTATTACTTCTTTGGGTTCATTGCATTAAACCCCCACTTCCTACCTCTAATTGGAGTAGGGTGACCACAGAGCAACTGTGAAAAAACGGGATGGGGGTGGAGAGTAATAGCGCCTATATAAGAAAAAGTCCTCAAAAACGGGACTGTCCCTTTAAAAACAGGACATCCGGTCACCCTAAATGGGAGCCCCCCCCCCCAGCCTCTCTTCCTGCATCCTCTCTTCAGCTCCCTTCCCTCTGCACGCATGCAATAAGCTAATGGCTAACAATCTCTGCAGAAGTGCGGTGTCCCCCTTCTGAAAGCTTTCTCGAGCAATGGTTCTGTCCAGCCAATTGCACTAGAGGGCGCTGCAGTTATCGGAATGAAGGGCTGCTGCATTCACTGCAGGGCATAGGGAGGATTCTTCCCAAGGTGTCCATTCCTTTCCCCACAATTTGCCCTGCTCTTGTTTCATCCAGCAAAAACAGTTGCTTTCAGTAGGCTCAGCCCAGCAGTCCCCCTCTCTAACCAGCTGATTCCTCCTGGTTTTTGCATCTGTGCTATTTAACAGTCCCTCCAGGATGAGCAATCCCTCCAGGATGAGCAAGAGGAAGCAGGAGCATGTTGTTTACCAGTGATGATCAGGATCAGCCTCTCCCTTTACGCATGCACCTTCCCACTTCAAGCACAAGCATGACAAATGAAAACTTGCACATTTCTGGGACCACCTCCACTCTAGCCTCAGTAATTCAAGGACAGGAGCCCTTTTGTGGTTCCCTACAGATCCCAAGGCGATCCTTAGATGCTGAATTTCCCCTTCATAGAATCATAGAATATCAGGGCTGGAAGGGACCTCAGGAGGTCATCTAGTCCAACCCCCTGCTCAAAACAGGACCAATCCCCAGACAGAT